ACAACTGATTCCCTACCCGTTTATTGAAGTCTTCAAAGAGTCCCTTGACCGACGTGGAAAAGGCCTGCAGCTCATTTTCCAGCTTCACCTTCATCACCTTCTTGCTCTTGGACAGTATCTAATACACCCACTCAGGCTTATCGTCACCCTAACTCCTCCAGGGATCACCTCCCCTGCCTCGACCAGATTGTCCTTAAAGTTCTCAAGGCGTGGCCTCATCGACATTTTACGAGCTGTTTCAACATCACTCGTCGCGACATCAAAGTCGGCTAACGCTTGGTACCTTCAAACAACGTATGTTCTCAAAGCAACAGACTAGCTTCCATAATGCCAGCACTTCCAGCCGTACCATCAAGGATAACGGGCCTCCCATTACACCAGTGAATGATCCACTGATTCCAACACTCATTCGGCACACTGTGAGATATTCCCAGCAGGATGAGTACAGTAAGTAGATGAGATGGTCGCTACTCGGGTACTCACATATCTTCAACAGGTTTGATCCTGTCGTCCATGCTCCCAATGTCATTCGAGCAAGTGTCCAGTAGATGTATCCGCTCCCGAAGCTGATCGAAATTCCGGGGGGTAGAGAGTAGAATCTTACTATTGCTAGTAAAGTACCTGAATAAAAGGACGGCTAGCAATCACCATCCATCTAATCATGGATTCACTATTCAGAATCCGAGACAAAACCTCCAAGGGAAAAGGAACCAAAGCCTACTCTACTTCGACGGAGTAAGCACCCCTTACCCGAGTATGGAGTCCAGCTGCTGCTTAGCCCTGTCATGGAGCAGGTCCGTGAGCTTCTCGCGCCACTGCTGACAATGCTTGATAAGCTCGTTTTTGAGTTGAGCAAAATCGGCGTGGATGAAGTCGATGATAACTTTGTATTCTTCTTGCTGTATATCCAACTGTAGACGCTTATACCTGAAGTTGGATCAACATGAGGGTCAATGACATACGCGGTGCGGAGGAGGAACGAAAACAAGCCACGTAAGCCAAGATCCACGAGCACGCTCACTATCGATGAGCATCATTGCAATAGAGAGGGACAGCCCAACTCACTTTTGGATATCTTCACCCACCACACTAAGAGGCCTCTCGGTCTTTGCATATCGGCGTAAGAATGTATCCTTATCCTCACTAACGATGGGTTGGTACGTCGTACTCCACCACTTCAATTTATCCTCAAGCTTAATGGCACACCGATTGAAGCCCTCAAGATCTCCTTCACATACCTGCTCAATC